ACACACAGACACACTCTCTCTCCCAAACACAAAGACACACACACACACACACCCCTGACCCAGACACAAACACACACCACAATGCCCACTTACTGATCCCCCACCCCTTTTCTCTCTCTTTTCCTCTCTCTTACCACCCTACAGCCATCAGCAAGCTTTTGGGCAATATCACACAGTGAGACTGTCTCTGCTTTCCCCACCCAGTCATCTCCCTCCAAAAAGCCCCATTACCATCAGTGGTGTTGAATGCACAGGGAATTTACAAGGCTGCTCCTTGAGGCCCAGGGAGGTCTCCTCCATTAGCAGGTCCCCTGAAGGTGAGGCGTTACTGGTAATCACGTGCCCTTCGCGGGGTTCGATGCCTGAACATAGCTCTGAGAAGACACATTGGGTTCAGTCAGTTATGCAGCAACAATAGAAAGGGAGAACATTGTGAGTTTCGAGAGCAATACTATCACAGCATGCAAAGGAAAGGGAGTGGTGATGCTTATAACCAAGGGACAGAGCGTGGGTGTTAATAGCAGAATATATCAAAGCAAAACTACAAGACTACAAGACAAGAAGGCAAGGGTTGGGTGGGGGGGGGGGTGCAGTGGCATGGAATTCAGCACCAAGGTCAGAGCTCATGCTCTGAAATTGTTAAACTCAATGTTGAGCCCTGAAGGCTGGAAAGTGCCAGACAGGAAAGTGAGGTATTTGTTCTGCAGCTTCCGTTAGGCATCACTGGAACACCACAGTGGGCCCCAGACGGAAACATGAGCTCGAGGACGAGTCAGGTGGTTGAAACGCTGGGTGACTGCAAGGTCAGGCTCATCTCATGGACTCAGTACATCTGTCACCCTAGGCTGCACCCGGTCTGCCCAGTGCACAGATCCACCACATTGCAGACAGCAGATCCTGCCAATAGATCGGAAAAGCTGCAAATAGGTCACTGCTTTACCTGAAAGGAGCGATTGAGCCTTGGGCGGTGAGACGAGGAGCCGTTCAGGGACCAAGTGTTACAATTTCTGCGACTGCATAGGATGGGGCCTTGGGAGGGAGATGAACTATTGGGAGTGACAGAGGAGTGAGTCAAGGTCTCACGGTCAGAAGGCTGATGGGATTTGGGGGTAGGGACGGGAGAGAGAGGACTGGGTCGGTGGTGGCACCCTGCTGGGCGTGGGAGAAAAGGGAGGTGATGCTGGAACTGTATAAAGCACTAGTTAGGCCACAACTACAGAACTGTGGGCAGTTCTGGAATCCACATTATAGGAGGGATGTAATAGCACTGGGAGAGGGTGCAGGAGATTTACCAGGATGTTGCCTGGGTTGGAGAGTTTCAGTAATGGAGAGAGATTGGACAGACTGGGGTTGTTTTTCTTAGAGCAGAGGAGATTGACAGAGGGGGACATGATTGAGATGTATAAAATGATGAAGGGCATAGATAGGGCAGACAGGAAGAAACATTTTCCCCTTTGATGGAGGGGTCAATGACTAGGGGGTATAGACTTAAGGTGAGAGAAGGTTTTTCACTCAGAGAGTGGTCGGAATCTGGAATTTAATGCCTTTAAGAGGCAGAAATTCACATAACATTGAAGAAGTATTTAGATAAGCACTTGTGATGCCAAGGCAATGGGGATGGCGATGGGCCAAGTGTTGGAAAATGAGATTAGAATAGAAACTCTTTACTCAGGGAGTTGTTAGGATTTGGAATGTGCTGCCTGGGAGAGTGATGGAGGCAGATTTCAAAGCAGTTTTCAGAAGACAGCTGGATGTATATTTGGAAGTGATGAATTTCAAAGGCAATGGAGACAGGTCTGGAGAGTGGGACCAGCTGGGTAGCTGGGATTGTGGGGAGGGTGGGGCGAAAAACCACACAGCCAGGGCAGGGGAGGGGGCTAAGGGGGAGAGAGAGAGAGTGATGGGTGTGGGGGATGGGATGGCCTGGGGTAACAGAGCTAGGTGGTAGATTTGGGAGAGCGTGGGGCAGCTAGGAGGGCACGGTTAAGGACAGTTCAGGATCCTGTGAACCCTGTAACTCCACACAATCACTGGAGGGCAGCACGGGGGCTCAGTGGTTAGCACTACTGCCTCACATCGCCAGGGACACAGGTTCAATTCCAGCCTTGGGCAACTTTGTCTGTGTGGAGTTTGCACATTTTCCCCCGTGTCCATGTGGGTTTCCTCCCACGGTCCAAAGATATGTAGCTTAGAGTGGGTTGGCCATAGTTACGGGATTAGGGTGGGATGCTCTTCGGAGGGTCGTGCAGAGCCTATAGGCCGAATGGCACTGTAGGGATTCTATGATCTTATGATTCTATGACCGCCTGTCACAAGGGAGGCTGCCCCTCTGGCCTCTACCTCCCTTTCTCTGTGACGGTGACATTACTCGTGAAGGGGGCGACAGTGCAGGGGGTGGGGTCTCACCGATTTGTGACTGGAGGCTCTTACCAGAATTCTCTGCAGCGTTGCCCGCCGTGGTCAGTAGCTTCGCTGCCCGGTGTCCGTGTCTCTTGACCAGGAGCTCCAGCAGCTGCTGCTGTGTCTGCCGCACCAGGCTCTGCCCTGGGAAGGCCCGCTGGGTGCCAAGGGCCCGGATGAGTTTCCGCGCCACCTCGGCGACTGGGGCGGGGGGCCTGGGCGTGACCGTTGGCTGGGACCCCTTCCTCGCTGGCTCCGGTGTCGGAGAGCTCGGTTCCACCACAGGGGCTTCTGGCGGCTCGGCTCCCTTCCCCGGCACAGGCGTGGTGACCTTGGCAGTTGGCGGGGCAGGCTCTCCGGCATCACCTTGCCCGTCACTCAGGGGGAGCCTCTCGGCAGTGACGGACTTGACCTCCCTGTTGAAGATGCCCAGGTGCTTCTGGCTGAGGCGGTTCTGGGTGATTACCCAGCTGGAAGGGACAGGGGTTTTGGGAGCCCCTGCCTCGGCCCTTTCCCGCCGGCAGCGGCACTCACTGGCCCGGCCCGCTCCCTGAGCCCAGGGCTTGTGCCGAGACGGCTTCTCGCTGAGCCCCCGGCCAAATTTGGTGCGGTTCAGCTCTCGCCGCGTCTTCCTGCGTTTCACTTTTAGGTTGCAGGTCTTGTTTGGCGCAGGGTGAGCGTTGGTGATGGCCAAGGGGGGGCTGCCCTGCTCTCGAGGTGCTCCCTTCAGTGCGGACTCAAAGTACTTCAGGATGCTGCTCCTGCTCGCCATTTGTCGGTGGCTCATCATGACCCCATTGCCATGACCCTGAAAAGGTGAAGATTGCAATCGGTGACCAGCATCACTTGGCTCTCTCTGCATTGACCCCGCTCCCCCTCGCTCTGTCTTCACTTTTACAAAGGCACACCTCACTGGGGAGGGTGGGCACACTGGAAACCGAGCCCTGCTATTCCTGCTAATGTCACAAAAATTAAACCTTTTAAAATGCATCCAGTTTCCCCATCTTTCCGAGCAGGTTGGCAGAAAGAAGGGACCAGGTTTCTGCACTTAACAAGAATTGACATTCGTTACAAACTAATTAAACCCTAGCTATAGGTAAACAATGATAAATCCAGATGCATATTACGTTACAAACTAAAACTCTAATTCTCTTATAACAAGAGAATTTTCTGAAGAAGGGTCTAGGCCCGAAATGTCAGCCTTCCTGCTCCTCTGATGCTGCTTGGCCTGCTGTGTTCATCCAGCTCTACACCTTGTTATCTCTCTTCTCTTATAACAACATCTCTCTCTCTCACACACACACACTCAGAGACAGGAAAAGAAGGTGGGCTGGGAATAGCTGGAAAAGCAGTTCAGTGGTTCCACAGAGTTTGATGAAATGATTCTGGTTTGGGGGCAGCACGGTAGCTCAGTGGTTAGCACTGCTTCCTCACTGCACCAGGGACCTGGGTTTGATTCCACCCTTGGGTGACTGCGTGGGTTGCTTCCGGGTGCTCCAGTCTCCTCCCACAGTCCAAAGTTGTGAGGGTAGGTGGATTGGCCATCCTAAATTGCCCATGGTGTCCAGGGATGTGTAGGCTAGGTGGGTTGACCATGGAGAAAAGCAGAATTTTAGGGATAAAGTTGGGGGTGGGTCTGGGTGGGATCCTCTTTGGCAGGTCGGTGTGAACTTGTTGGGCCAAATGGCCTGATTCCACACTGTAGGGTTTCTATGATTCAGGTTATATTCAGGCTACCTCTTCCTTCTCTTGATGCTTCCACTGGTTTGTAAGAGGCACAGGGTGGCTGTTTCACTGATGGAAAGGTGTCCAACTTGTCAACTAAAAGTTGCAGCAACTGCTGATGCAAAAATAACCTGATTTTCACAGGTTTAAAGTTGCTTACTGCAGAGAACAGAGAGAGGAAGAGAGCGAGAGAGCGAGCGCTTCTGGATTGTGGAGACCTGATAGCTTCTTGTTCCTAGCCTCAAGCTGTTTGGCTACCTGGGAACCAATCACATAGCTGTTGGCAGGCAGAAGTCATTGATTCACCAGTGTGAAAACCAATCAGCTTCTAGTTGTTAACCAATCTCCATCGGTACACAACCCCTTGGCTCCAGTTTGTCTGCACACACTGCTGTATCCCACAGCTGTGTAAACAGTGTTAACAATGGGGTTCAAGTTACTTACCATCCAACCAGGCAGCAAACAATTATTAAAACATCTATTTTCTCATTTCAGACCACAATTTAAAAAATACAAAAATGCCAAGATGTGGTCTTCCCTTTCACAACCAGTACCGAGATAATGTAAATAGAAAGGAGGTGATGGCCTAATGGTATTCTTGCCAGATTATTAATTCAGAGAGCCTGGAGACCTGAGTTCAAATCCTGCTGTTGCAGGTGGTGGAATTTTAATTCAATAAATATCTGGAATTAGAACTCATTGAAACCATTGTTGATCGTCAGACTACTTTAGGGAAGGAAACTACCGTTTTTACCTGGGTCTGGCCTCCAGACCCAAAACAGTGGTTAACACGTAACACTAATTAGGATTGGGTAATAAATTTTGGCCTGGTCAGTGATTTCCACATCTCAAGAATGAATTAAATAAAACACAGGAACAGGCCATTCAGCCCATGATGTCTGTCTCGACCATGATGTCATTCTAAACTAAACTCATCCACCTGCACATGGTCTGTATCCCACTATTCCCTACCTGGCCATGTGTCTGCCTAAACACCTTTTAAATGTTGCTATTGTATCTGCTTCTACCACACCTCCTGGCAGAAACATGCCATGCACGTACCACACTCTGTGTAAAAAACCTGCCTCCTAGTATTTGGAGATAGTAGGAAGTGCAGATGCTGGAGAATCTGAGATAACAAGGTGTAGAGCTGGATGAACACAGCAGGCCAAGCAGCATCAGAAGAGCAGGAAGGCTGGCGTGACGGGCTTAGACCCTTCTTCAGATTTCTGAAGAAGGGTCTAGGCCTGAAATGTCAGCCTTCCTGCTCCTTTGATGCTGCTTGGCCTGCTGTGTTCATCCAGATCTACACCTGGTTATCTCTGCCTCCTAGTATTTGTCAGTTCCACCCTGGGCAATAAACTCTGACTGTCCACCCTACCAATGCCCCTCATAATTTTACACATTTCTATCCAATCACCCATCAGCCTCCGATGTTCCAACGAAAATAATCCAAGCTAATACTCCAGGCAACATCCTGGTAAATCTCTTTTGCACCCTCTCCAAAGCCCCCACATACTTTCTATAGTATGACGACCAGATGTAGCCGAATTAAAGTTTTATACATCTGCAACATCTTGTAAACGTTTATACTCAATGCCCCCCACCAATGACAGCAAGTATGTCATATGCCTTCCTTGCCACCTTACCTAATTGTGTTGCCACTTTCAGGGAGTTGTGGACTTGGGCCCCAAGATCCCTCTGAATATTAATGTTCCTAAGGATCCTGAGATTTACCGGCAGTGGGCAGCTTTCCCTGACATTCTGACTAATGTTTACCCCTCCTTCAGTATCATAAATAATAATTATTGACTGGGACTCCATGTGCCAGGGAGTTAGATGGGGTAGAACAGGTTGGGTTCATCCTAGAGGGTTCCTTGAAACATTATGAAGGTAGCCCAACCAGGGAATGGGTCATACTAGATTTTGTACTGGGGATGAGCCTGGCCAGGTGATTGAAGTTTCAGTAGGGGAGAATATTGGGAACGGTGATCATAACTCCGTTAAGTTTTAAGACAGTTATAGATAAGGATAAGATTGGTCCTTAGGTAAAAGTGCTAACTTGGGGGAAGGCTAATTACAACAGTATTAGGCAGGAACTGGGGAAATTAGATTGGGAGCGGCTGCTGAAGGGTAAATCCACATC